TTTTTTTAATATAAATATATAAATTTTGTTCATGGTACTTCTGCATATACATATATTTGCAACTTTTAATAATTTAAATATATATGCATATATGTATATTTAAAATATTTTCTATACTTTACACAAATTCAGTCTATCATTACATTATATTAATACATATTTTATATTCTAATAGTGTTAGAAACTGTAAATTTGTTTTTTTTTTTTTTTATTATTCGTATTATTGTTTCTCCTTATTTTTGTATTTATATCAACTTTAATCTTTACTTAAATGAATGTAAGTGTCGTTATAGTATATTTAATAAATATAGATAAATATTCGATGTTTTGCAATGACCATAACATCGATGGAAACTTCTAACAAATTCCGAAAACATTATACATCTACAAAATTTAATAAATAATAGAAAGCTCTTTCTTCTTCTTATTATTATTTTTAAGAATTATTATAATTAAGAATCGTTTCGAAAATAATACAGAGGACTCGAAATTAGTTTATAGCTTAACAATTGATAATCTTAAAACTCACTTAATGTTTTTTTTTTTTTTTTTTTTTCGTCAAGAACTTTGATTGCAATCACATGGAATTTCCATTTTGTGTGTAATTAGTGGAGCTGAAGCTGAGCTCCATTGTTTATGAGCTGGGCATATGTGAAACTTATCTAGTGGGCGATATTGTCAATTACTTGAAGTTGACTAATTGGATTTGAGCCAAGTCCTGCATGGAGTTAAGCCTGGCTGATTGCCTGGCATCGATTAGCTAATTTTAGCCAAGTTCTGGCGGAGGCTGGGGCTGGGGACTGGGGCTGGGCGCGTCTGCAGTTCCTGCTGATAGACGATCTCAGCAGGCGACTATTCCGACTCATTTATTGGTATCCATATGAATTACTTATGCACACACACATATACACACACAGAAAGTGAGAGAGAGAGAGAGAGCTAGAGATAGGGAGGGAGAGGCACTCATTAGTCTTGGCTCAAAGAAATGCCGCAACATGAAACCGAATGTGAATGCGCAAGACTTAACAAAAGACTAGATTTCTGAGATTACGTTGACATTTTGGAAGGGCAAGAGCAGCTCAGCTTATCTGCCATACATATCACACACTAACACACACACACACACACGGCATGATATAGAGCCTGATTGCACCTACCTATCATAGAACTAGCATTATTTTCGCTCGAAAAGCTCAGTCTGTTACAATTGTTCGGAAATCCAATAAGAAAGAGCAATGACGACGACGACGACAACAACACAGGCACACGCGAATCACGGCGAATTGAGCAACGGCGCAGCGAGAACGCGTCTTCTGCGGCCAAGCAACGTTGAACGAATGACGAAGCCTGCGCGCACAAGCAGTTGTTCAAGCCGAGCTGCAACACGAGCTTGCTTGCTCTCAGCTGATTGGCTCAATGAAAAGCTTCAAGAGGATCGAAAAGTTGCGCAAGTATGCGTTGGAGCGAGAGCTGCGATTGGTTGCAGCGTGTCTGACTGAGTTTGTGTCACTGCTTAGTGAACTTAGTTGAGACAAGAACCCAAAGCTTTTACACACCGTTCAAATAAAAAGCCGTTTGATTTTCACATTTAAAAAATTTATTTATTTTTTTTTTTGTATTTTTATTTTTTTTATTCAACTTTTACACAGAGAAAAATGAAATTGCAGTTTTTTTTTGCATTTGTTTCGTTTTGTTTATATATATATGTATATATATTTTTGTCATATTTTGATTAATTAAAATTTGTTAAATTGCTAGAATTTGTTAAGCGCTACTAAAGTTTAAATTTGTTGTTTTACATACACACGTGTATATATATATAATATATATATATATATATATAATATTGATTTTTTGTTTTGTTTGTTTGCATTTGCTTTGTTTTTCCTCATCTTTCCTTCTTCTTCTTCTTTAGGCCTTAACGCTTTTCACTTGATTTTTGTAGATATAATATATGGAAATTGTTAAACATTACTTAGTCACGTATATATATATATATATGTGTATATATATATATATATATATATTCATGCGTAGCTACTTGATTTACAACATTGAGTTCTTATCAACTTTTGTTAACTTAAGTTAAGTTTAGATTTTTTTCTTCTTCGTCGTGTTTTCTTGGTCTGATGAGAAAGAAATGACAATACACTGAGAGAAACTCGCATAGAGTTTAGATTTAGCCATGGCATCTTTAAATTTTTGTGATTGTATCCGAGTCTTTGCAACAAAATTTTCATTTCCTTTTCTTTTTCGTTTCCCAAAACAAATTTCAACATCAAAAATTTTGAATATATTTTTTCTTTTTATAATATTAATTATTTTCGTTTTTTGAAATTAAGGTTTTTCAGTATTTAAATCACATGGTGGGATAATCGCTTAAATACATAAGATTATTAAATTTTTTAGTTTTTAGTTTTTATATAATGAGTGTGTGGAATGTGTGAAGTGATTTGAGGGTCTTCGAGTTGGGTTTCTCTTTTAAGTATTTGATGTGCTCTGCTCTAAAAATATTTTGAAGAAGAATTTACTAGTATTTTTGTTTACGTGTACTTTGCTTTATAGATATATATATATATATATATATCGATTTTTTACTTGAGGCGTTTTCTAATTGATTGATTATTGTTTAAAGTTCTTTTGTTTTTCATTGAATGCATTAATTGGTTCCCTTTTAACACACACACATACGTATTATCATATATATATATATACGTGTATATATATAGGAGTATGTAAAAATTCTACACACATACATATATATAACTCTATCCATAGTTTGGTATTTAGTTTTATTCCTTTTCTTTAACCATATATCATTATTGTTTACAAATACTTTGAGGAGCACTGGACGTGTCTAAGATTCTTCATCAGCTTCTTCTTCTTTTCCTATACATCCATCCATTGAAGAACGTGGAAATCAAAAAACAAAAAGAAAAAACATTTAAAGCGTTGCATACTACTTTTTTTTTAAGTATTATTTTTAAGCCTGGCGTTAAGTAAAAAAAAAAAAAAAGAAAAAGACATTTAATTTTGTTTTTGTTTTGTTTCTTTTAGCTCTACAAATTAAAAGTTTTTACATTTATTAATACTCTATTAAAAAAAAAAAAACAAAGGAAATTAAATTTGTCAACTGCTTTTTTTTTTTTTTTTTTTTGTTTTTGCTTTAGTTTTCTATTTGTTGTTTGTTAATTATTAAATAGATCACATTCATGGTTCTATTTCTTTCACTTGCTTGCATAGTTTTTTATGTTCACATTTGTTTTAAACTTGTTTCTTTTACGTTAAATACATTAAATACGCTTAGAAATTGCGTTTTGTGTTTTTGTTGTTTTATATTTACATGTGTATTTTATATTTATTAGTTTTAATTTGCTTGTAATGTTAAACAAAGTGTAAAGAAAATGCGTATTTTGTTTTTATTTCTCATGTGTGTGTGTGTGTGTGTGTTTTTTTTTCTACTTTAATATGAGTTTTTTTTAGTTTTAGTTTTTAAATTAAATATCCTTGCAGTATTTATTGTTTGTATATTTTTGCGGAATAAGAATTCTATTTTTTGGGGAAATATTTTTTACTATTGTTTTTGTTTGTTTGATTATTGAGTTTTATAAATGTTTAATTCATTTTTTATATTTCTATAAATTATTTTTTTTTTTTAGATTTAAGCTGCAAGCTGCAAGGATTTTTGTATGTAGCGAGATCTTTTTTGGGTGTTTTTTTTTTTTTTTTTGTGTTTATTATTGATTAAAGTATAAATAAATTCTGTTTGTTGCACATGCGTGTGTTTTTATAAGTGTGTGTGTGTGTATTGTATGTAAATTGTTTAAATGTATTTTAGCTTAAATTTGTCAAATACTTGTTTTACGGCTTGAAATGTTTTTCTTTTTTTTTTTGTGTTTTGTTTTTGCAGCTATAAAAGTTTTGAAATCGGCTTTTAGAATTTGTTTAAGTTATTAATTTTTTAATTTGTAATTTGTATTTTACGCTACGCTATAAATTATTTTAAAATTTATTAACACAGATGACTTTATAGATTTCTTTTCCCAAACATTTTGCTTTTACAAATTTCTTCCATTCTTCAGCTTAACATTCAAATTGGTTTTTCTTTCTCTTACTTTGCTTTAAATTTTACTCACAAATACATTTAGCTGCCCCACTGTATATTAAGCATATATATTATTGTTTAATGCAATGCCAATTGTTTTCTTGTTTTTTTTTTTTTTTTTTTTTTTTTTTTTTTTGTAATTGTTTAAACTAAACTACGAGTTAAATACACAGCTACACACATTGAATTCTCTGCTTTGTTTATGTTTTTCTTTTTAATATTAAAATCTTAAGCTAGAAACACATCAAATATTATAAATATTTTATATATATTCATGTATATATATATTCTGTATTTTGTTTATATCAATGTAGAGCCAGAGTTTAAAACTCTGCACAAGGAAAAGAAAACACGGAGTTTACATTTGCAAAGAAATCAATAAATGAAAAAAAAAAAAATGTTTTTTTAAAGACAAATTGAAAAAAAAAAAGAAATGAAAATATTTTAAACAAATTTGCAAGTGTTCAAATTTTGCTTGTTTTTAAGTATGTGTGTGTGTGTGTGTTTGTTTGTGTTTCAATATTCATAATTATTATATAATATCACATCAACTTTGTTTTTTTTCTTTATTATTATTATTATTTATATATATTTTGTTGTTTTGCATCAACTCTTTTTTACTTATTGTTTGCTCTGTTTTTTCCCCCCCGTATGTTTATATATATTGGTTTTATATATAGAGATTTTATAGCCTAATAAGATCCTGAAGAAAAACATACATACATATCCATAAGTGTATCAGCGATGCTTCATACACATACATATATGTATATGCATACATACATATACATATATATACATATCTCGATTTTCGTATTCATCCTTTCTCTGATACACTCATCTATATACTTATACGATTAATACTCTCTTTTTGCTCTTATACATTTTTGGGAGGTTTTCCTTTTTATGTTTTTTGTTTTCCTTTTTTTTTTTTTTTTTGTTTTTGTTTTTAAAAACGGATAACCGGCAACCGTTTTCACTGAGTGACAATTTTCCTTTTTTTGTTTACAATATTTTCAATATTTGATTTTTTTTTTTTTGAGTTTTTGTTTTTGTTTCAAAAAGTTTCATTTTTTGTTTATAAGCCAAAAAGTCAGTCCAATAAGAGTTTTGAGTTGCCTGCAACTGCAGTTGATTTGTTTTTGTTTGTTTTTAGGATTTTGTAGGTCTCAAAATACATAATTGTTTTTGTTGTTGGGTTTTTGTTTTTGTTTTAATTATTATTATTATTATTATTATTATTTCTCCTAGTGTTGCGTTGATTTGTTGTTTTTGTTTTGCAGGATTTGCTGAATTGTGGTCCAAAGTTTGCCTCTTTATGGGTTTTGTTGTTTCTTTTAAATTATTAATTTTTGTTTTGTATGTTTTTGTTTGTTTTGGATGGGTTTTGTTAAGGACGCCGACGTGAGTTTGTGTTTAAAGTGTTGGAGCTGTTGCATTCGCTGTTCTTCTTCTTATACATTCATTTACTTATTCGGAGGGATTTGTGTAATGATTCAAGTGCAGCATCCAAAGTACACCATCGAAACACGCCCACATCGACATCTACGCCTTCCATATGCCTCATATGATGCTGCCTCTACTGGGAGAGTAGAGTTTGTTCTTGGTCAAAGTAAAATCGGGACTGATCATAATCGTATTGCTGCGTGTTATATATCTATATAGGAGAAGCGAGAGAGAGAGAGAGAGAGAAGGGGAGAGTGAGTAAGGTGTTTATATGATCTTAAAGGCAATAAGGGCTCACTTGAACAGCTTGGGCAGCAGGCTGGACCAGCCGCGCTTGTCCTGCTTCAACGTTAGATAAAGCTCAAATATGGAAACTGTATCCGGATCCACCTTAAACGAAGCAATACGTCTGTAGAGTGGGTGAGAGAGAGGGAGAGAGTTAGTTATATGCTCCTCTGCTGTTTCCACCGATCATCAATTACTTACCTAACGTTGTTCGGCTCGCTCTCGAATTCGATGAATATGGTGCAGGCCCTTTCGCCGCACGGCTCCCGCTCCGACATGCGAATGATTTCGGCTGCGATGCGCTGCATCAGATTGTTGGGCAGCGTCACCTCGGTGCAGGCAAGATGCTGGCTTTTGGCGTCGCGTAGCTTGGCCTGTAGCTGCTGGGACAGCTCCTGCACCGCAACGGCGCTCACATCGTCCAGATTGTCGATGGCGCCGAAGCGCGACGTTGGCGTCGACTGCAGCGGCGAGGCGGGCAGCGCTGTTGTCTGCGGTGCTGCCTGCAACACGTTGGACATGTAGCCGGCGGTTGCACTGCCTCCGTTTAGCATATCGAAGCTGGCCGCCATGGGGCAGACGGGGGCCTTGACGCCGACGCCCGTCGAGGAGGCGGACGACGAGGAGGAGAGGCGCGGGCGGGTGTTGAGCGCCTGATGCTGACGCATGTGCAGCACTGAAGCGGGATGGCCATCCACAACATCAACATCAACGTCGACGTCCACGTCCACGTCCACGTTCGCAACGTCCGCGTTTGCAACGTCCACGTCAGCCACGTTCACCTCCGCGGCTGTTGCAGTTGCAGTTGCTGGTGCCGTTAGCGGACTCGTCCAGTCTGCAATGCAAGGATAAAGAGCACAAGAAGAGGTAAGACTTTAGTCACCTTATTTCAACCGGCAGAAAACCACATGAAAGAAAAAACCATAAAGCAGACTCACACAAAAAAAAAAAAAAAAAAAACAGCTGATGTCTGCGCTGCCACCGGCAAAAGCCTTGCATGCGCACTCATTCTACTGCTCTCTCTCTCTCACACACACACACACAATCGAAGAGCTTGCGCAAGCTCAAATTTGCACTCACACTTTATGCGCAGGCTCGACAAACACACTCAATGCTTCCAGGGCGCGGGGGCAGACGGGGGAGTGGCTTGAAATCACCTGGCAACAACAGCTGGAAAATCAGCCGTTCGCTTAAGCAGCAAACCCAAGCCCCACTGCTCTCCTCCCCTATCCACTTACAGCAGTCAACCAGCCATTAGGTAATGTGTTTTTTCTCGTTTTTTTTTTGCTCGTCTTCCCCTCTTTTGCTCAGCTTGTTTCGCTTTATGAGCCAGAGGCCTCATCGTTTCCAGCTGACGATTGCGCGTCCGTCCCCCATCCGTTTTGTTCGCTCGTTCGTTAGTCAGCAGTTTCTTTTGCGTTTGCTTTTGCTTGTGCTATGCAATTGCTATTGCTGTCCCACATCTCCCTCTACCTCTCCCTCACCCACACCCGCTCAAGCACCTCCTCCTTCCTTCGCATTTCAATGACCGCCAGGCCTTGCTTTATGTGTCTTCTCTGTCGTTTGCCTTTGGCTGCACGCTTTTTATTTCTTTTGCTGTTATTTTAATACTCAAGTATACAAATACAAAAGCCAAAGCTGAGCACAGCAGCCGCACGCACAGTGGCTCGAAATGTCGACATTATGTTTTGATAAATGTTCTACCTAATTATTTGAAGGTAAACACATTCTCTATGATAACAAATGTGGAAAAGTCAACATTATTATTTCTTTTCGTTTAATTAACATTTTCTTCTTCAGTAGCTTTTCATTTGAATTCATAATTTACATTTTCTCCCACTGTCTTTTGCTGTCTTTTCTGTTTATCTTTTACATTAAGGAATACATACATATGTATATGGAATATATGTACATATGTATGTATGCATGTGTGCGTGTGTGCGTGTTTATGCTGGAGTGTGTTTATTTAAGGTGCCTGTAGTATGCAAATAAAAAACAGTTAAATATCTTACTGTTGTCCCGTGCTTTGTAATATGCACAAATTAACCACTTGGCTTAGCTGGCTCGACGATGTCATGTAATTAGCGCTGAAACTCTTTCAGCTCACCCGTCGCCTCCCCTTCTCGCACCCTGAGCAATTCCATTGCAACGGCTGAATGGATATTGCTATCTCGCTCGAGCGCACTAGGCGCACCCGCGTAATTAAGAAATTAACGGCACATGTTTGCGGCTCTCCTTCTGTGTTTATGTCTTTCGCTGCGTTTGTCACAAATGAATATGTGTATATATATATAAATATATACACACACAGCCTTACACACATGCACACAAACGTGTTTTGTCAAGTGCTGCATGAAAAGGGTTTGTGTAAACTTTACATTGTAAAAGTCAAAAGCGAAAACGAAAAGGAAACGACAAACGCATACACATTTAATTACACACACACAAACATACGTGCATATGTATACACGCATGTAAATTCTGTTGAGAGCGTCTCCCCCGCCTTGTTGTCATGTCTTATTCATCACTGCGGGCACATCACGCGACATTTGCGGTTGTCTCTTTTATGCATTCAAAATCGCCAATAAACAACAACAACCACAGCAAAAGCAGCAGCAGCAAGAAACACAGTAACAACAGCCTAGCAACAGCATCAGCATACACGCACTCACACACATATGTACATATGTAAATACATTGTATACTTGTCTCTTGCTTCCCCACACAAACATGTCTGCAGCTACCTGCGGCTAGCGCGAGGGCTTTGCATTTACTTTACAGAACATTCTAATTTATCTCTCCAAATACAGTAGCTAAGGGAAGCTCTTTTAGCTTCTGCTTGCATTGCTGCGTGCGTGCATATGTGTGTATGTGTGCATGCGTGATAATGCGTGCGTGTGTGCACATAGTGTTTGGCCTTGAGTCGTGCGTTTGAAGTAAATGGAGTGTGATTGATACCTTTGAATGAATACTTTGACCACGCGATAAATCCTCATCGAAATCTCAATCACAACAGTTGTAAAACACTCGAGACTTATGCTTTGCATACATACACAGCTTATGTGTATGAACATATGCATGCATGTATTTATGTACGTACGTACGGCTCGCGCTTTAATCAAACACTGAGCAACATGCATATCAGTGTGACCATATGCTGAATGCACAATAGTCTAGAATTTAACCAAAAATACCAAAAACCGTTGAAGTTTTCAGCAATATTGATGAGCATATGAAATTAAAGCTGACTTAAAGCATATTAAAAATGCATACACACATACATATATGTACATTTATGCATATGTATTTATGTAAGTTTATAGTGCTTGGAACCGTCCTCTAATAAAGATCACAATTAAGTTGCTTAAGTCAGCGCACAGGCATGTTCACTCAAAGGAAATTAAGTAATTTATTTTACAACATTATTTGGTTCCTAGATTTCCCAGATTGAATAGCATATGAATATGCATGACTAATTACGTGCCAATGTATGTATGTATGTATGAGTGTGTGTGTCGGTGTCCTTCGAATATAAAATTGCATGCGCCCAGTCAGTCATGAAATTAAATTGACTGCAAACACACACACACATGCAGCACATATAACTGCCAAAGAACCGTTGCGAGGAGTGAGATGGCATGCTCTGTCTTTGCTGCTTCTGCAAGGTGTGCATGTGCATGTATTTGCATTTGCATTTGTGTTTATTTGTGTGCGAGTGTGTGTGTGTGTAGACATGTCGTTGCATGTTGTCGTCAACATAAGGCTGCTGCTGCTCCCTGCTTCCTCTCTCCCCAACGTCTGGCCCTTTCTCTGTCTCTTTGCCAATCCCTCTGCTGGAATTTTGGGCTGGTTTTCATGTTCCCAGTTGGGTTCGTGTTCGGTTCTAATTTGCAGGACTTGCCGTGTGTTTCTCTCTCTCCCCCTCTCCCTCTACGTGGGTATGTGTGTGTTTTAGCCAAGTTTAAAGTGACAGGGATTAACAGGATGTTGCATAATCCGCACGTCAGACACAGGAACAGGATATGCCTGCTCCCCAGGCGCAAAAACAAGCAAAAACCGAAAAAACACGTTGCACAAAAATGCATAAAACAAATTTCGTTTCATTTCAACCCCTTGAAAACTTGCATGCCAAAGGCACTTTATTTGTCATGCCATTTACTTAAGCTGGCGAACAGAAGCCGGAAGAAAATTCCCTTGGATTCAATTTATAATACTGCTGATTCTATTAACTGTAGAACCTTGAATATCAAGAGCCTTTCGTAATATTACAAATTCCTACATACAATATTTGAATATAAATATTTATGCATAAGAAAAAAAAAAAACAGAATTCTCAATAAACATTTTGCAGTTTATTATGGAAAATTTTACATTTGAATGCCCAAAAAGATCAGATAAAAGTTTCTCAAGCGCTATCAAATTAATTGAATCAAAAAATAGGCCATAAAAAACAGGCAAACACAAAACGGAATGAGTATAAAAAATATGTTCGAGGCACATTAAAAATTTGTAGTGCAAATGTTTCCTAATGTGTTTCAATAAATAAAAAATACATCATTTATAATGAATGTATATTCCAATGGGGAATAAAAACCCATTTACGTCAGAAGTGCGATTCCAGCATTAATCTTGAGTATGTGCTTCAAATTAAGACTTGGAATTTCGTATTTCAAATATTTTATGAAGCTTTAAATCACTTTTTTTGTGTTCGAAAATGTTTGCCAATTTTTCGTATATTTTTTGAAAAATTTTAAGAGGCGATATAATTAATTCATTTCATATTTGTTTCAAATATAATAGAATTTTGTTGAAATGTAAAATTTGTTTTTTTTTTTCCTTTCATTTATACTGTTGGGAAAAAAAAAATTGTTTTTTGGGCTTTACATAAGTTGATTTTATACATATTATTTGTTTATGCAATATTTTTTATATGTTTTTAAAAGTTTATGAAACAAAGACCTAAAATTTATTTATTAAAGTAGCATATAAAAAAAATATATTTAAAAATATTTTATATATATATATTTTTTTTTATTTTTATTTTCTAGTAATAGCTTGTTTTTAATTTGTAGTTGAATTAATTCAATAATGTTTTAAATTAATTTTTTTTTTTTTTTTTGGCTTTGCTTTTTATTATTATATCAAAGAAATAAATTTTTAAATATGCGCTTTAATTTTAAGACAATTTTTGAAGATTGTGAAAAAACAAACTATCTAAAACATAGTTTTTTTAATTAAATTAGTCGAATAAATGTTTAAATTAATAGCATTCAAAACTGAATTTTTAGTTGTATTTAAAATAAATTAATCATTGGCTTTATTTCTTTTACTTGATCTTTTATAGTCAACATTTGGCAACTTTGCTTATATTCTCTTTAAATTAAATTATTTCAAAGAAAAGAAAATTTTATTCAAATTTTCCCCCAACACAAGAGCTCTTAGAACGGCAAAAAAAATATAAAGAACAATCTTAGCTAATCAAATTCCGCAACAGAATTTAATTAAATTCTTTGAGCGTAGTTTCCACTCTCTTTAAATTCTTCTGTTCTGCTATTCAATGGGCAGCGAAAACTTTAAAACTTTCAACACTTTACAGGGGGCGCACACACACACACTCACATGCTTTCACGCACGAAAAAAAAAGAGAATAAAACTCTATTTATAGCTACTAAATTTGTATTACTCACCTTTAACTTTTGTTGTGCCAATGCCGCCGAATTGTCCCTGAATGTGATTTTGTACTGAGAGCACTTCCATCTTCATTGCCCAGTTGGAAAAATATCTCACTCGTTGCGCTTGCTGTGTTGCCTCCAATTGGATTTATATTTGTGCAGCATTCAAAGTCTTTTTTGTTGACTGGGATTTTCGATGCGTTTTGTTTTGTTTTTTTTTTTTTGTGAGTAGTTGCATACATACATCAGTATGTATGAGTGTGTGTGTGTGTGTGTGTGAGGGTGTGTGTATATATGTATATCTATGTATATATGTATTAGAAATGCACTTTAATCACAAGAATTTGATTTGATTTTCGTGTGTTTATATGTGTGTATGTCTGTGTATGTGTGTGTGTGTATTGTGTTTAACTTTTATTAATTAATTAATTTCCGATTTTGCTTCTATTTAATTTTATTTCACGTTTTTCATTTACGGCACACAATTTTCTGACTGAAGCTTTGTCTCTCTCTCATACTCTCTGTAGCTTTCTCTCTCGCTCTCTCTTTCTGATGCTCGTTTAACAAATAATTGCAAAAAGTATCAACAACTAAATTTGTTATTCTAGTTTAACATTTAAATTTTTTAATACATTCTAAAAAAGCCGAATTTGCCGCCTCGCATCGCTCTCGCTCTCTGTCGCTCTTTTTCTTATTTTTAATTTACGCACAGCACTCGAAATTTAAGTTGTTGGAAAGGAATTGCGAATTAGTTAAAGATCTGCACACATACACTGACATGTGTCTATGCATGTGGTTGTTGCTGTTGCTATTGCTGCTTGCTGTGTTGCGGTTGGCTGGCGTCGTTCCGTCTCCGTGCGTGTCAATTGGAGCTGATGCGTTGCGTGCGGCGGCCGCTGCTTGACTGGACGTTCGTTTACACAGCGACAACGGACGAGGGCGCCCTCTGCTGGTGGCAGCAAATTTGAGTTGCTCTGCCGCTGCTGCTGCAGCTGCTCTTCCAACTCAACTCGGCTCAACTCAACTCAACTCGGCTCAACTCAACTCAACTCAACTGCTCACAGCTGTTTGTTGCGTGTGTGCGTTGGTGTGTGTATGTGTGGGTGAGCGAGCGCCGCGCTGCCAGCTGAAAAAAACTTGCAACAGCAGCTAAGAATACGATGTGGAAGAGATGGACGACACACGGCTGACGGTTGACGGTTGACGGTTGACGGTCGACGGTCGACGGTAGAGAGGAGCTTGGGCGGCAACTTCTGTGGCGGAGCAGTTTTCCAAAGCTACTATCCGGCCGGCGGTATGTGCCTCTGCTTTTATAGCAATTTTCCGGCCAGGCTGCGCTGCCGGCTGCCGGCCGCAGCAGCGCTGCCGCTAACATGAGTGAGTGACTTTTCCCCTTGGCCGTGAATTGTGTCATTCGCTGTAAACGGCGCAAGCGTAAGAGCAAACGCACCCTCAGCTTACCTCACGCCGCTCTCTGCACATCATCGCTCTCCTTCTTGCTCTAGCCGTTCTCTGCTCTACTCTAGCATTTGAGCTGCTTGCCACCAGCTGCGCTCGTTTGGCTGCGGCAAACATATGTTGCCAAGCGGCATCATCAGCTGTTGTTGTGCGCTGCTCGCACTCACACACTCACCCAGCTCTCACACTCACTCCTCTCAGGCAGCATTTGAGTGTGCTCTTAAATTCGGCTTGCTCTTGAGCTAAAGAGTATTTAATGGAATTGCACTCAAGAGCGCAGGGTATGTTCGAATTGAGTGTATTTTTGATTTCATTTCGGCACTGAGCACATTCTCTTTGATTCTTGATTTGAGTTTCTTTTTTCTTTCTTTTTTTGCAAAAATGTTATGCTGATTGGAAAGTTTCGTATGCCTGTGAAATTGGTTAGGGCTGTGTTCTATAGTTTATGAAATTAGATTTTGATTGAAAACACCTAATTGATGGATTACAGCGTATTTATAAAAATTTTAAGCAATAATTTGTAAGTCGAGCAGATTTCAAGTTTATTTAATAAATAAGTTTAGTTAAGAAGGTCTTCCAATTGGAAAAGTTAGTTTAGTTAAGTTAGTCAGACTGGAAGTATAGTTATTATAGCAATAGTTGAAATATCTTATAGTAATATCCCTCTCTCTCTCTCTCTATTTCTATCTCTTTGAAATATAAATTTGGTTTCCAATTGGAAACGCTAATCTAGCTAGCTTGACCTCAAAAGCATCTTATAAGAATATCTTAATATATAGCTGCTTTCTCATGTTATCCTGTTGACAGGACACACACTTCCTATCGCTCTCTCCCTCACTCTCTCTCACTCTCTCGCTCTTTGCTATTTAGGTTAAGTCCGTAGAATATATAAATCATGTATTTGATTAATTGTATGCGAGCGACTTTTATCCTCTTCGACATTTGCTGCAGTCTACTGCAAAGGGATCAGCAGCGTGGCGGGAGAGGGTGGGGGGATCTGGGTCTTGGATGCTGGCCTTTAAAACTTTGGCAGCCGTGTGGCCACACGCTGGGCCGCTGTTGCCCCGCCCCCCACAGCAGCAGAGCGACAGAGCGCCTCCCTCGTGGCAATTGTGTTGTGTAAACATTTTTTCAGCATTAACTGACATGTGTAAGTCCCACACACACACAGAGAGAGCAAGCGAGAGAGAGAGAGAGAGAGGTAGACAAAAAAATGGCAAGTTTTTGTGGCAGAAGTTTTTGTGGCACATAGAACTGGCTGCAACAGCCGCCCGCAGCTTCAACGTCTTTGCCAACGAAACTGTGACAAATAGGCAAGCGGCAAAGCGACAGGGGCGGGAGTGGGGGTGGCGGTGGGGGTAGCGGCTGAGGCTGCGGTGCGGACAGCAACTGTGGTTGGGGCTGGGGCTGGGGCAAGGTGGCGCTTGGCATGACTGGCCATTGGCGCCATTTTTTATTTTTTTGTATTAAGATGAATTGTTAAAACAGTGACAGCTTCAGAGCTCCACACAGAGAGCATTTGCCGTTTTCCTTTTTTTTTATATACACATACATATATATATTTTATTTTATTTATTTCGTTGCTGTTGTTGTTGCAACAACTCAACCTACGACTCGAGCTGAAGGAAAACTATGGAAACTCCTGACACTGAAAGGAGGCAAAGATTAAAATCCCATTTAATGGTTTGTCAGAGAGCATCGAGAGTATTGCCAGTCTATATAGGCGTGAGTACAGTGAGCCCTCGGCTAAAGTGACTTAACAATGGATGAAGTAGGAAATATCTCCTTTATTTATATTTGTTATTTCAAGTGAAAAAAATTTTGATTTATCTTAAATTGAAAATTTTCACTGTACAGTAAACACTCATAGGTGAGTGCTTAATATATAGAAATGTTTCATCTTTATATTTTTGCTTTTCAGGTTTTCTGATCTAACAAATGATTTTTTAAGTAAATAAATTAATTTGTATATTCATAATACAGTGAACTCTTGACTATATATTATTAATTTAAATTTATTCAAAATGTATAATAAATTATATTTTTTTTATCATAAATTTTAATTTAATTTATTATAATAGTAAATGAAAATTTTAAATTTTGGTTTAAAGCAAATATTTACTAATACAATAATAATAAATAATACAAAATTATTTAAAAATTATTAACAATAATTTAAATTCGAAATTTTAAGTTTTCCTTCATTATTTAAATGTACGTTCAATTTGTATATAGCACAGTGAACTTCCGTCGTCTAAAAAGATCTTACTATGAGAATTGTATTACATTGTTTTATTTGATCTCTTTATTTACCTATGCTTTAAATTTAAAATTGTTTAATACAGTAAAATTAAATAAAAAGTATTCATTTTGTTTAAGAATTTTAGAACATTGAGCCACAATTTATATTCTTTAATTCAGCAAAGAATAAATTAAATAATAAAAATTTTATACATATATAAATGATTTTCATGATTTTAAAATAAACAACAAATTTATTTACATTTATCAATTCTATAAAGTTTTTCCCCTCTAGTCTGTCGCTAATAAGACTATTTAAATTCCAATTGGATATTTATTCTTGTTGTTACTTCAGCCAAGTCTGCCCAAGTCTTAGAATTTTCAAGCCATTTAATAATAATAATAATAATAATAATTTAATAAGAATTATTGAATAAGAAGTATTATTATTATGTTAGTCATTCATATTCATATCGATATTTATGTTTTTCAATAGTTAAGTCAGCTATTTATTATTATTAATAAAATTTTCACAATTTTTAAAGAATTGCTATACAAAGCTCAACAAGAAATTCATTCCTGTTCAAGTTGTTCTCCTACTATCGATATATACATATATATATATATATATTGTATAAATATCTATACTTGGAAAGTCCTACCGATATGTTCTTTGGCCAGTTGAAAGCTCTTAGTATTGTGCTCTGGCTCTTATTGTTAAGCTGCAAAGAAAAGTCGCAAAAAAAAAAAAAATTGAAAGAAAATTGTGGAAAAATTGTGAAATTTTGAACACGTTTCGCGCATTCACACACTGCTGAAAGCTGAAAGCTAAGCGCTGAGCGGCGAGAGAACAACACTTGGAAAATGTGAAAAGTGGGCGAAAAGTGCGAAACATCAAAGGGCAAAATATAAGAAGTAAATTCCACTAAAAGCTCCGATTGTTGTTCTGTGTGCGAAAGGCACTTAAGCTTTACAGGCCAATCCTTTCCAATCCAAACGAATCGAATCAAATCGAATCGAATCGCATCGAAGCAAAACTACTCAAAGGTGTCTAGATATAGGTATGCATGTGTATATGCATATATATGTATATATATGTGTATGTATGTATATCCACTCTGGCTAACTCACAGCCATAATCAACAAGCGCTTGGCCTGCTCTACGATTGAACGAGCCCAGCGAATGGACCACTTAATGCGCTTTTGTGTAATGCCACAAACGCGAATATACATATATACATATATATTTCTGCTCTTCTTCTTCTCTTCTATACCCTAACTTGAGGCAGCACAACTATGTGTATAGGCTAGTTAAGCAAAATATAGGGTATTCATAAGTAGCTTAAATACTCAACTAAACTGCTTCATTGAAATGACTAAACCATGTTATTATTTTTTATATTATGCCTAGTTTTCTTATCTCATTCTCTTACTTACAATGGTCCTTTATTATATTTCAAGTAAACTAGTTTTAATAATCAAGGCAAACTGGTTTCAAATTTATGTATATTTATGACTTGTTTTCAATATTTAAAAAATTTGTTTATTCAAGCTTAGAATTTAGATTTAATTTTAATTTTTAAAATTTTGATCTCACATAAATTATTTTTAAATTTACATATTTTATTTCTTCAAAAAAAAAAAAAAAATAAAAAAAAAAAAAAAAAAAAAAAAAAAAAAAAAAAAAAAAAAAATAATAAAATAAAATAAATAAATAAATAAAAAATAAAAAAAAAATAAAAAAAAATAAAGAAAATAATATAAAAAAATAAATAATAAAAAAAAATAGTTTTACATATTTTATTTCTTCAAAAAAAAAAAAAAAAAAAAAAAAAAAAAAAAAAAAAAAAAAAAAAAATAAAAAAAAAAAAAAAAATAAAAAAATAAAATAAAATAAATAAATAAAATAAAATTAATAATAATAAGAAATAACTAAAAAAAAAAAATAAAAATAAAGAAAATAATATAAAAAATAAATAAAAACAAATAAAAAATGTTTTAAATAATAATTTGTATTAATATTGTATACGATTTTTAATATTTAATATTGATTTTAATTTGCAATATATTATATAGAAAATAATCATTATTATTTCTATATATACTTATTTAGATCCGATTTTTATCATTTCGCTCTACGGAACTCCTCTATTATTAATTATCAGAACTCAATCTATTCATTCTCTACTTGACTCTTTTCAGGGTATTTCATATTCGGTTATATCTAAATATTAATTTTTTTCCGTTTGCTTACTTTATAATGCGTTGCACGTTTTACCAATAAAACAACAACAACAACAAAACAACACTAACAACAGCAACATCAACAGCAAGACGCAATCCTTTAAGTTTCGGTTACAACGCAATCGTAGTTGCCACGCCCCCAACCAGCATACATCTGCCCCAGTGGCGCTGCCCTCCCGCTTTGCCGATTCACATCGATTTTCATGTGATTTGTGTAGACGTGTTTGGTTTTTATTGATTTTCACTTGATTCTCTCCATATGCTTAAATATACTTAAGCCAGTACGTGAGCATTTCCATCTCTTGGGCAACCGCAGCAGCAGCTGAAGC